GCCGGGCCCATAATTACAATCATAAGAATAATTAATGATGTACATGTGCAATCAGGTACAGCTTTTAATTAACTACTATAATAATGCACTTGAAAAAATTACTCCATTCTGATTGGCTAAGAGCAGTGCAGTTCAAGTGTAACACCAGTGCAAAAAGTGTAACACCTGTGCAAATTACAATTTCCGAAGATTTCCGAAGTTAGTACGAAGACCCTTAACGGCTCCCGAAGGTCATACGAGGTATGCCGAAGATGGCCGAAGTTGGCCCGAAGACTTCCGAAAGTTTCCGAAGATAACCCGATGACTTCCGAAGATTTCCCGAAGTCTTCCGTAGATTTCCGAACGTCATCCGAAGAATTCCGAAGTTTACCGAAGATTTCGGAAGATTTCCGAAGATCACCCGAATACTTCCGAAGTTTACCGAAGATTTCCGAAGATCACCCGAAGATTTCCGAAGGCTGCCGAAGATCAACCGAAGACATCCGAACTTAATCGGAAGGTTTGCGAATACTTCCGGAATTTTTACGAAAGACCAAGGCCCCCTCAGCCTAAGTAATCGGTAAACGGTATTTTTCAAGTGTGTTATTAACAAGTAATCACATGATTTTTCTCGTGCAATTTGGAATAAATAAGCACTTGTAAATTTTTCAAAGACTACAAATTGCACTCACCCTACGGACTCGTGCAATTTTGTTAGTCTTTGAAAAATTTACTCGTGCTTATTTATTCCAAATTGCACTCGAAATCATGCGATTACCTATACTTATCACTTACAGTGCACAGTGAGAAATGTGCTTGCTGTATCATTTCCACAAGAATTACTTGCTTCGCACTTGTATTCTCCAGCATCATTCCTACTGATGTGTGTGAGTTCACGAGTGATTCCCATTGAACGACTACCACTGCTGACTGCCGTCCATGTCACAGATGACACATCACTCCCAGAAACATTACAGGTTAGAGTCCTGTTCTCACCCTCTGTTACTGTGATGTTTTTTAGTGGATATACAATTGATGGAACTGTACAAAACAAAATGGTCACAAATTTCTGTAATTTTAATTACAGTAATTTAAAATGTTTAATACATTTGTACAATTGAATTGTAGCTTTTTCGATTTTCATAGTAGAATTACATGAGATTAGCTAGAGTACTCTGAGCTTGAATATTTTGCATAATGAAAGCATTGTTACTGACAGCAATTCACATTCTACAGCATACACTTGTAAACTATAAACTTGTATCTTATCTTATCTTATCTTATCTTATATACATGTAGTATCTTTGAACTTTTTTAAATAATTTTTTTTTATAATACAGAGCTGTTCAAACAATAACAGTATTTTCTAAAAGTATTTTAGTGACTAACGTCTTGGACTAAAAGTATTTTATTGAAACTTGTTAAGGCCATGCTCTCTGACTCATTGGCCCACAAATCTTCATTTTAGGATAGCTGGCCTACTTTTTGCTATTTTCAGGCCCTTGAATCATGTCCTACCCATTCCCCCAATAGAGAGCCTGTTCACAGGCTAATTGTGATCACAATGGTTGTTGTGCAAAGCTACGTTTCATTAATTACACATCATATACATGAAGCAAGCCATTGCAAGTTCAATGATTTGTTCCATGAAATGTATAATTAACTAAAATTGTGTATTAAAAAGTCATCAAATAGTTAAAAATTTGAACACTAAAACACTAAAATTAGCCTAACAAATTAGGAATTATTATTTAAACAAGGCTTAGAAAGACAAAATATACAAATTACCATTTACAGTAACATTCTTGTTGCATGTGCCAACAGTGTTGTTAGCCACACATCTGTAGGTGAATGCACCTTGAGTTGACATTGTCCTGTTCCATAATCCTGTACTGCTTCCATCACTCACTGGTATATCATTCTCAAACAGCTGATATGTATGTACCGCAGGTTTACCATCAGCTGAGCAGGTGATGGTGATGACGTCACCTTGGCAGATGTTGGAGTCGTTTACTATCAACTGGATATTCTCTGGTTTGTCTGAAACAAAAGGAAAAACGTTTAGTCCCTAGTAAATTTTAACCTAGTCCATAGGTTCTGCGTGGACAGAGGCACTATGAGAGCTAAATGTATTGCCCCAGAATACAACACGATAATCCCGGACAGCGCATGACTGACCCACCATAATAGGCCACCGCATCTCCTATAAAGTGCTGTAACACAAAGTAGGCTGGCCATGTGCCAATCCTGTTATGCCTTAACACTGAAATGCATCAGTTGATGAAAAAGCTATCGAGAACCATGGTTTCACACGATAATCAATCAGTCATCACAGTATTATGCAGTTACACTTTTACATTTGTGTTGATAGGTGTTTAAAATGATCATAAAAGGCTACAGTCAAGCTGCCACTCCCTTGCTCCCAAGAGCGTCCAAGTACTGTAAATAAGTACTGTTTCAGAAATATGCGATACCACTCCATTAGTTGCTAGAGGTTCAATTTGTATAATTACATAAAGCATGTACATTGTACTCTTTTATCACTTCAGGAGTCACACAAGTTGCGTAAAAGAGAAATAATATTTAAACTTACATATCACGTAGTGACATTTGTGAAGGAAAGACTTATGGGTACAGTGTGTTATACAGTGCATGTTATGATTTTGCACCTTTTTACTGACAGTATTATTTAACTGTTACTATAAGTGAATATTAGTCGTGCTTCTTACCTCAGTAAATACAAAGGAAACTGCATTGTAAATTTTAAATACGACCTGTCGCATCACAACTTAAAAACATGGCTCTGTACAAAAATCAAGTCCAAGTAATGCATCTGATTTACAGTGAAGATGACGCTACCGTTGCCACTCGACAAAGTTTTTGATTAATTTTTGACATCGTTTTGACAACTTTTTCACGACTTTCGGATGGGTTTCCGTTTGACTTGACCAATCAAAATCCAAGGAGTGTTGGAGGTGGAGTCGTGAAATTTGAATGGTTTTAGTTTCTAGCCTAGTTCAAATGTGGCGCCACAAAACGGAATCCATCAAAGTCTTCACACAAGATGTCAAAAATTAATCAAATAATGTGTCGAGTGGCAACGGTAGCGTCATCTTCACTGTAAAAAACTGTAAATCTGCATGTAAATTTAATCCAATGTCATACATGTAGCCACTCATTCTGTATATCAATGAATTAAAAAGAGTCTGTCTAGAAGCCTACAGTAAGTGGCTACACATCCAGTTTCCAAGCAAACTATTTCTACTTAACTATGCTAGTCCTGATCACAGGTATAATTGTTGTCACGTTGCCCTGAATTAGTTGAACCCATTTACGTATACTGACGGGGGAAGAGATGCACTTTGTGAGTTGAGTGTCTTGTCCACAAACACAACACAGCGACCCTGGTCAGCGCGACAAGTAGAGCCCGGACCACTCAATACGGAGCAAGTATCCACCAAATAATACAGAATACATTGACTTACAATTAACATTGACATTAACTGTGTGATTGGGCGCAGTTCCTATCCCATTGTATGCAGTACAGCGATATGTTCCAGTGCTATTTCTGTTATTGTCAAGTACAAACGTGTTCTCACGAGAGAGTACATTGGAGTCACTGCCATTATCAAGCACTTTGGTCCAGTGATGTTTGGTGTTGGTTTACCATCTGCAATGCACTCTAATGTAACACTGGCACCATCACCTTCTACGACATCTTGATCACCACTCTTCGTTGTGAATTCTGGCGGATCTGTAAAATAAGGAAAACGTACAGGTCATTTTTACTATATGTTCATTATCTGAGAGGTAAACTCTGATATACGATTGTAAGAGACAGAACAAACGCTGGAAAAAAAATCAAGTGTCCCGAGCGGGATTCGAACCCATGACACCCTATTCTTCACATTTTGCCTTCGAAAATTAGGGGTGGCCTATGGACCATAGACCGGATCCATGGGTGGTCCATGGACCGGGTCCACGGAGTGAGATGGACCTTATGCCTGCCGACATCAATACTTTTTTAGCAAACATCTCGCTCGATAAAGCTTGCGTAGGACGAAACAAATACGCCTATATCCAAAGAGTGTGCTCCAAATAGTGTTCTCACACTATCTCGGAAAATAAAAAAAAGTGGACAAAATACAAAATTGAGCGGAAAACTTAATACTTACACTGTACTTCAACAACCACCGAACTCGATTTTTGGGCACCGACGAGGACTACGTCGAGCTGATAGCTTCCACTGTCCGTTCTGTTCGCTCTAAGGATCGTAATAGAAGACTGTGTATCCGTTATATTCACGGGTCCTAATCGAGCTGTGTAAGCCGCGTCTATATGTTGGGGCAGGTTAGGTGTTTTGTATTCTAGAATGAGTGTTCCAACCAAATTCAGATCAATACGTCTGACCGATCCAGTTAAGACGTGGCTCCATTTCAGAGAAATGTTGTTACCTTCCACAACATAGGTTGGATTTGCAGGTACTTCTGTATATGTGACAGATTGCAATTCTACAAAACAAAACAAAAAACAGATATGGTTACTCAGACGGCAATGAATGATCTACTGAACGATTTATACGAAGCACGCTGTTTTTCGCGACAAGAGAAATAATCAGGGGCCTGATTGTTGAAAGGGTGGATAACGCGATAACGCTATAAAGATAAGTCACAATCCACTGGATAGCGTTGTTTTTGTTTTGTATTTGTACACTGGATAGCGATTTATTCGGTGGATAGCGTTATCCATCCTTTCTCAAACTTATTTTAAAATTATTCATGATGATCATGACGACAGCCAATAAATGACGCCCATTTAGGTCAGGTGGATTAATCTTTATTCCCAGTGAAACACCACAACCAAATCTGGTTTTGAAATGATTTTTAGTGATCTAGTGATTTTTAGTGATCTTGATATAAAATTTAATGTAATATCAAGATTCTTGTGGCATTTATATGACAGACTTTCAAAAACTATAAATTATATTTGAATCATTTGTCATAGAAAAAAATAATTCAAAGTTCTATTAACTGGAGTAGAACCTGTGACCTTCCGCTACAGTAGTCGGATGCTCTACCATTGAGCTACAAGACTTCGGAAATCAAAATAGATTATCATCATCTTGAAATCACAAAATCTGTCTCACAAAATCTGTCTCACAAAATCTGTCTCACAAAATCTGTCTCAACATTCTCTCAACATTTGTTGAGACATGATGAGAGATGTTGAGACCATGCCCGGTCAAACGTCCTAAAACCTTAACCTCTCGACAAAAATAAAAAAATAAAAATAAAAATAATTAAAAAATAATAATAAAATAAAATTTTATAGCGCGAAGGTAAACGCAAGGATATTTTAAAATTAATCAGAAAAAACTGAAAGTTGACGACGTTTCTACGCTACTTCGCGTCATTCTCAAGTCAAAAGTAAAATGAAAACTAAGCATATATACAGATAAGTGAAAACAACAGGAAATTTGATAGTCCTATGGGTATAGTTCCCATGAAAATTAAATAGCTGCATAATAAAACAATAAAGTGTAAAACGAACAGTTTTGTATGGTAGAGCCAACCATTTCTTTGGGATCGGCGCAGTTGGCTGGCTCGCAGAAATGGTCGGCTCTACCATACACAGATTTAGCCAGGAACACAGTGGAACGACAGGCAACTCCACAAGATACACAAGATCCATCTGTGTACATAAAATTGCCTTTTAAAGACCAGCGTTCAGCCGATCGCGTCCGCAGGGAAATCCATTCGCTGCAATCCAAGATTGGATTTTCATTTTACTTTGACTTGATAACGACGCGAAGTAGCGTCGAAACGTCGTCAACTTTCAGTTTTTTCTGATGTATTTTCAAAATATTCTTGCGTTTACCTTCGCTATAAAATTGCACTCCAAATCTTGTCTCATCCGTAATAAAATAAAAAATAAAAAAACCTCTCAACATTTCAATAACAAAAGAAATGTTGTGACGACGTTGAAATAAAGTTTATTAAATGGATTCAAACTCGTCTCAACATGTTCCCCCTCCCGATTTCTCCCGCTTTTTCCCGCTCTTTTCGCCTTCGCGCGGCTCCCGCGGTCTCGGAAAGGAAACGACTGCTACACAGGCTAGTTTGTTTAGAACGTAAGGTATGGCCAAAGTTATCGTATTGCACTCGCTCGCTTAATTATTAAATTTGAAACTTGAAAATAAACTTTACCGGGTTATTTCAAACCCCGTTTTTATGTGTTTATTATGTTAAGAAGTTTTGTTTTTTTTCTGTCATGGCGAAAACACAATAAATATTTCTGATTTTGTACCCCGGATTTGTAGTGGCTGTAACTAGTTCAAGCTATAATTAAATTTAGCTTATGCCGCGATTAATTCTAGCTGGTTACCATCCCCCCGCACTGACCACAAGGGACTTGTTTTTTGTTTTTTTTCGTGGAACTGCAAATTCCCCCGGCCCGTCCCCGGGCAAAGAAAAAGCAACACAAATTATAAAATTAAAAGCATTATTAATGCTTTTAACTTTATAATTTTTGTTACTTTTCCTCAGTTCTCGTGGGCGAACACGGGGAATTTGTAGCCCCACGAAAAAAAAAACGTAACAGAGGTCTATATAGATGTTAACGTTATTGAACTAGCGTGAGGTCCGTATTGGGAAAATATTGGTCGAGTTCTTTTTATGGACCGAGCCGAAGGCGAGGTCTATAAACTTGCAAAAAAATAACGAGACCAATATTTCCCAATACGGACCGAACAAGCTAGTTCAATAAAGTTTTTATTATAATGGATTTTTTTAACAAATCTGCTGATAAATTAATGCAAGCTATCTCGGCTAACGCGCGCGCGCCAAACCTAAGCATATTCTTGCACTTTTCAGGCCACTTTGCGAAAAGTTTAACCAAAATTGTCCGTCAGACACGAGGAAAATGTTTTTACTTAATATAAAACAGTTTTCCTTTGTTCAATGTTTCATAGAAGAAATTCGGCGAAATGAGTTCGTTAGCGGTCCATCTTAGCGGTCCGTATTGCAAAATTCGGACCGCTCAGGGAACCAATCAGAATGATGATCAGGAAAACTCGCCGATGATTAACGGAGGTCATTCTGTCTGTATAAAGAAGGCCCCAAAACAACGGAGCGTGACGTGAAAATAACTCAACTGCTGTTTAAATGTAGTGAGCTGATAACTGTCCATGCATAACGCTTCGCTCAGAAGCTACAGAAGGTAGCCTCATTAATTTTAATTTGTGCGACTAACCTTCTATGAGCGAAATTAAGAATCGGTCAAACAACTTAGTAAGAGTCGTTATTTGATGGAACAAAGAAGAGTTTTCAGCACTTAAAGCACCTACTACGGGACTACGATGTGCTCGGAACACGTCTCAGTCAAAGTAAATATGCACAACTTACAAGACACTTAAATAGTATAGCTATTTTCTGCCGCGCGAGCTATAAACGTGAAAAGCTGTTAAAGTTAATTATAGTGTTGAATTTGAACTAAAATTTAAATCCTGTTGAAATGATCGATTTAGGTTTACCTTCCAGTGTGATTGAAATCTCACGGTAGAGCTGTGTCAGCTATTCGGTGCGAGGCGAGTAAAGACTATTTGTTATGACAACGTCCATGAACTTACAAAGCAAAGGAAGTTAAGAAAACTCTATTATATCAAAGGGTCTACAACTGACTGACTAACCAAGGTAACTATGCCGCTTACCTGCAAAGGGAATAAAGATGAGTGCTACTACCACGAACCACACATCTGATGGAACTTCCGCCATTGTCACTGGTCGGCTCATCATTCATCAGTGAACATGATAATTTATTCACACTAGAGCTCGAAGGTCAAATGTTCATATTTTTAACTTTAATAAATTACCACAAAACTACGATAATAAGCCCTGGGCTTATTTTGTTCACAAGGCTTTTTGTTGGGCTTACTTATTGCACGGAATTTTGAGTCTATTATCGAAATTGTACGATATATGTACTTCTATTAATTGGGAGCATATTATTTTATCTTATTTAATCGTCCTCCGCGACCGAAACCTTCTATAGGAATACAGGGCCGGTCGGACATGCAGTTTAGTCGGCTAGCAAGTGAGCTATGCATATAATAAAGGACGTGTGGGATTTTTATTTCTCAAGGTAACTTGAACCAAAATTATCGAAACCTCCAGTTGTGTTCACTGTCGACTTGCGGCTGATAACAGCTGAGAAACCTCGAGCTCGACGTTGATGGTCCTCGCTTCTAAGAGGGGAGAGAGGGGGTTGGAGCCCGGGAGGTCTAAGGGAGGCGGGAAAAGAAAATCGTAACACTGCGTAATATTTCACAATAGAAAAATCACAAAGGGTCGGGAGCCAATAAGGAACGGTCGGGAAGCGGAAGTCGGAAGTAAAATGTTCGGGAGGCTGGAAGTTCAGATCCTCCCCCCCCCCCCCCCCCCCCCCCCCTCCCTATCGTGCTCCTCCTCAGTCCTCAGAATATTTTCTCTACGCTTTCTATGGTCTGAGGAAATAGAGAGGCTGTGAACAGTCTGGGAGTAATATTAAATTATTGTTTTGTCAGTTGAATCCGCGAACCCAAACGCACTTGAGTACTTCAAGTGTCTAAACTGGTTGTTAGTATCGAAGGGGATAAATGTTCACTCAGAGTGTATATTGACTTGTGTTGCTGATTGACTTATATCATCATTTCATCATGTTTCATGTTTTGTTCTATGATGTGTAGCAAAGCCGGGAGACCGAACTCGCCACCAGTATCACTTTTAAAACTAAATTCGATTTTGAGACATTACGGCTTTTATGACGGCTAGTTAGGATCAAATATATTCCATATTGGGAAAAGCGAGTCGTAAATTAAAAAATTGCCGGCGACTTATTGAAGAAAACTATTGAATTTGCCCGGATGTCAACCGGGTGACGGCCGGGTGTCGACCGGGTGCCAATCCGTATCTTCAGCCCACATTTTGGGCTGAAACTTTGAATGCAGAAGTCCACACAACGCGTAAATAAAATGCACTGGTTCGTTTTTGCCGGATCTCACTGCAGAGATGCTCAAGCCCGACGTCACTTGAAGTGTAAGAGAACGAAACTGAATGCAAGGTACCACGGCAAAGGGTTGATTTATGTAATGGCCAATATTTCGGCGGCTAACAAAATTAGCCTTCCTCAGGGCCAGGGCTATACTGAAGAAAAATGCTATAACTGCAACTACGCTAAAACCCGAGTTTTATACGCCAAAAGAAGAGCGAAAGAAGAATGATCCTCTGTAGTAATAGGATTGTTGTACTTAACAAGTTGAGGCCTCGTGTCCTTATACTCGCCCATGAAGGATATTCCGGAATTGTCAGCATAAAACATGGATTGCGCTCAAATGTATGGCGGCCTAGAGTGACAAGATTGGGCGTGACAAATCTGGCCCTTACCACCAGGTGACTCGGTGTTGGTCGTAGCGGATTACTCCAAAAAACGTAATTGAAATCATGCGTTCCACGACATCCGACAATATCATCGAAAATTGCAGAAAATTGTCACGACTCATGGTAACTAGCGACAATGGACCGCCATTCATTTCGGGAATTTTCGAGCAAAAGATTGTAGTATACAGCACAGACAGATTCCCGGGGGTACTCAACAAAGTTTTATATTTCTAGATTTAGAATGTTGTGTTGGTCGACCTTGTATGGTTCAAGTGCTGGAGTGATTTTTATCGTCCATTTTTCAAGGGGCTCGCTGGTGGATTTTTTTGTCCGCCCTGGTGTGTTCTTATCGAATTCCTGGTGAACATACAGGCTTTACCAGGTCAGTTACAGAGGTACTATTTTCGTAAACTTTATTATGTGAGGCCTTCGAATTGTAGTAACCATATTAAAATATCACTTTTTTAGGGATTTTTTGTCTGCTTGATCATAGAACAGTTCCCTTCATGACAACTCTCAGTCCCAGGACCGTTATTTAAGAAACGTTTATTTATTTTCAGTTAGGGATAAATAACCTGTGCGCGTTTTTAAACGTCACTATTAAAATGTAGCACAGAAATTGATGTATTGTTCAAAATAAAATGATATTTATTAGTAGTCAACGGAGAAATTGGCTCTTTCTATTG